GTTTATCTTCTTTGAGTTTCACCATTTCAGTCCATTTTCATTGGCTCTTCAGATTTGTTTCTGAAATCCGTTTTCAGTGACGACGGTTTCAAAAGTTAATTTTAAGTTGTCTCGTGTTCTGATAAAGTATACGCATTTCCAGTAACCAGTCCGGCGTTTATTGGGATCAGACAGTTAAATCATGGAAGTAGGTCGTCTCACCTTTTTGCAATTTGACAGCTTACGCGACACGTGCACTCATTCCGCTTGACATTTCGTGACTTATGACGGAATCACTGTAAATGGGTTTACTATTTCACCGGAAGTAAGCCTGTTTTTCAGCGCAAGCGCAAATTATCGTTTGCTCGTTTGCTCAGAAGTCTCAGAAGTGACTGAGAAGAAGTTAAATGCAAGTCAAATATATTTTGGGTTCTTTTTTTTGAAAGTATTCTAACGCATTGTTGAATTAAAAAAATTAGCGTTTCGCATTTCTCTCCCGCTTCCCGCCCATTCCTCTCCCGCCTCCCGTACCCCTCTCGCCCCCTATTCTCCCGGGCTCCCGCCCCCCTGTCCCCCCCCTTAAAAGGTACGACGAACACCCCCGTCCTTTTTTAAATGGGAGTTCCCCCCGGGGTTAGGAGGGCCGTATGGGAGAATATTTAGCCTAGCGTCGTGCCAATCGAAAAAATTCTTCAAGCTTGATTACCTTGTAAACGTCTAAAAATGCCTGAATTGCTCGGGCTAAATGTTGATGTGTGTGGCGCCTGACGACAGGCATTATGCTTTCGAAAGATAAAGCCGGTTTTTAAAGAAAATTGTAAAATTAAGTGAAATATACGCTCTTCTCGACTTTTCGGTTTCGGGTTGGAGACACTAATATTTTCAAGGGGAAGCATTCGGTACCTTGTACTTAGATCATCAGCTACAAAGAACTCACACCGGATGCATTTCTGTTTACTTTTAGGGGACATTTCCACGCTAAAATAACCTCACGGTTGTTATGTTGTGTTCAGATGTTCCCATTTTTCACACTTCGATAATAAATCACTCGGGGAAATCATTCTTCAATTATTTATTTGAATTTAAAAATTGACTAAATTCCCGGAGAAAGTCAGCTATGTCGAGAAGCGCGCGCTAGTTTCTGATTGGTGAACCTTCTTACGGTAATTGATGGTTGATGAAATCGGATTACATGGAAATTGGTGCGCGTAATGCGAAAAGTCTGGTTCTTGTGTTAGGCTTGCCACTCTCTTCGTCCTCGCGTTTTTTTCCTCTTCCAGCATTTCCCCGTTTACGCCTGCAACGCAGGCCGTTAACGTCGGGCAGGAAAGTGCATTTCACAGAGAGAAACGTGCTGTAGACACATATCTTTAAAATGTCTGGTATTTCAGCTGATGTCCTCGGTCAAATCCTTCTCAAAACGTTCCTCAATTATCCGCAATTTTTCTCCAGAAACTACACTCTCCGCGAGATGCTTACGACAATTCGCCACAATGGGACTATGTTGCCTTTCATTGCAAACGCAACAGGCCTAGATGAGAGAGTGCTAGAACGAACTGTTGACTGGTATTTGAAAGTAGCAAAGTATATGGAAACAAAAACAGCAACGCCAACGAGTAACAAGTAAGTGTCACGCTAGAAAAGTGCGCGTATGAGCCGGCAGCGACAGACGGGTCGTGAGCAACCAATTTGTTCACTAGATCTGAGTCCAGGATCTGAGTATTATATAAGACTGAAGTAAGAAATTATTATAATAATAGCTCGTTTGTGTTGTGCGAACCATGGACCGTCGGTGGATTGATATTATAATGAAAAGCGAAGGAAAAACGCCGTTATAAATAAAGTTTGGAAGGAGGCCAGAGGAGAAATTAACCAATCCCGGGACCAGTGAATACCACAGTGAATTAGAAAATTCGAAAAATACTGAAATTGCAGCCAGGCGTAGATTCATGATAATTTTGGGAAACATTAAAAGTCAAACATTTTCCAACGTACATGTTTCTCAACATAATCACGTACGACGTGGACTTTGATAACTATGAAATCATCCGGCAACTATCATAAAAGGCTTTTTCTGGAAGCATTTTATTCCCAAAGAGACTCGAACTCACGAAATGATCACCTAGACATTCCTGACATGTGCGCTTTGCTTTGTTAATTTTTCATCCGCTCATAATCACACAGCTGGCATATTGGAATTTGAACTTTTATATAATTCATTTTTTCCCACTTTCTATTCCCAACAGATGAAGACCGAAGTTCTTCGGTCGAAACGTCCTTTTAGTAGTGTTTTTTTACAAAACGTTTATTTCAACGTTTTGTAAGCTAGTGTCAGACCCGGTTTAGCCGTATCGTGTTGAAAATCTACCGCGCATTAATTTCCTGCCATTAAGCGAATTAATTCAAAGCTAGTCTTGCCCTATCTTGTTGAAAATCTCCCGTCCCGTTAACCTATTCCGGAAGGAATTGGTTAACCAGAAACCAGAATCTAGAAACGTTTCATTTTAATGACATTTACTTGCATGTATCGTCAAAATGTTTCCCGTCTACTCTAAAACGTAAAGCCGGCGTTACGTTATGCGCGTCAGGGAAAAAACAGACCCTTGAAGATGCATATATAATTTGCATACAGTTTAGATTATTTCTGAGATTATTCTTCAGAATGCAAATCAACGTGAAAATGTTTTTCCTTGCTCCATTAAAATGAGCTGCTGCTTAATAAAACAAGACTTTCTGGCGCAAGTTTTCCTTTAAAAGACCCTGAAATATAATGTAAATACACGATCAGCTGTGTTTTTGTATTGACGGTTGTTGCAGCGCTGTTCGCAGATATCTTTTTGAGCTCTCTTCTGTTCATCCGGTATATTACTGAAAGTCAAACGAATTTTCTTATGGAAATTAGGTAATTATTGCACAACATTATTTCTTTCAATCAGAAAACTGAACGGAGATGTTCGCTGTACATGTTTTTACCTAGGACATAATTTTCGAGTAATTTTTGCACGTGTATGTAAAGAAATATGTCTCGCGAAAGAATATTGCATTGAGCGTTTTATGTACATGTATTAAAACTGACGATTAGTCGATGCAGTACCGTACCTTAACACAACCTGTTTAAAGCTGTTTTACTGAACTCTGAATGGGTGTATTATGACTTGCCAGTTTATAGTTACTTGATCTACTAAGGCTTAGGTTGTTGACATATTCTTAACTGGGCGTTTATATTTGTACAGGGAGGGATGGTGGTGGTGGTGGCGGGAGAGGGGGGTTTCGGAAAGGAAAGTCAAAGTTTGTACGTAAGTGCGGGGCGTTTGTAGCCAGAACGTACAAAGAAACTGGAAATTTATTATTTTTTTAATGATCCTTATCAATCTGCCCCAATCTTAACTATGTATGCTCCTTTATCTATTATCCTCCGCGCTCCCCACTCCCTCCCCTCCCTCCCCCCTCCCCCCTCCCCTCCCCTCTATTCCACCAAAGATAATCCAGATAAAGTGATCAAAATCAGCTCCGTTTAGTGTTCCAATATAAAGAAAATCAAGTAGAAAATAGGAAAGAAAGTTGCCAAGCTTACTGTACAGGAAGCGTTGGTTCGCTCAACCGATGACAAATGAAACGTTTGTTTTTTTCCCTTAGAAGTATAATCTATCTTTGCCTTCCCGATACCAGTGCTGGCTTTCTGATGTTTGCTTCGGTATTCATCGCGGTATGTGTATATTATTATTAGAATTGTTTATTAATATAGTTCCACTTGATACAGTGTTGTTTGATTGCCGTTGAAAGTACTTGGTTATAAGTGCTTTAAAAAATCCGGGTCATTTTTACTGTAGAGTAGGCGCCAGGGTGCCATTATGGAATTGTCTCTAGAGGTAGAGATCATATGGATGCTGGTTGTTCCGGAACAGCGAAAACTGTCACTTGTACATAGGTGTCCTTATTACAAAGAGTTTTCAGTAAGGAGAGGTTCGCCTTTAATTGTCTTTAATGGTTTATGCGCCCTTTTTTTTATTTTTTATTTTACTGTGATCGGCTAAACAATGAAGAATCCGAGAAATTAATCCGTTTTGCTTTCCTACGCTCTTTAATTGGCTTACTTTCTAAATTCTCTACCGATCAGCTGCAAAGAAAAACCAATTTGTGACCTGGTCTCGTGTGTTTCTCCATGCTTAGCTTACGGTCACGTACGTCTGCTTTGATTTTTCATTGGCTCAACGTGATATTTACGTTTGTTGTAATTTGTTACTGTACAGTCGACTCCCGATAACTCGAACCTTCAAGGGAAATAGAAAAGGTTCGAGTTGATATCAAATGACCGAAAAATAAGGAAAAAAACGGTGTTTAATGTTTTTCTATTCATGCAGTGTACATTTTAATCAAATTTAATTACAGAATAGAGAAGTCAAGTGAAAATAAAACAATACATCTCTAAATTATTGAGTAAATCTGAATGTAACGTAATGTGAAAAATATAACAGAGGAAAGCAGCAGAGAGGAGTCCAGGAACTGTGAACTGTACAGGTTTTTAAAAGAGAACAATGTCGGGCGGAGGTAAACTTTTGGGCGAGTGAAAACTGGCCTGGGCGAGTGCATTTTGAGAGTCACCCGCCCAAATGGTGAGTGCTGTCAAAATCAAGTGTCCAACCCTGGAAATCAAGCGGAAATCGATTTTGGTTCGATTTGGCGAGGGTTCGAGTTATCGGGAGTCCGTACTTGCTTTGATTTTGTAGTTTTCGCGCCATTATTGTTCAGTTAAATGCACCACGTGACCTAGTTTGATAATTCAGTGCGACAGGCACATGGTGGATTTTCACAATCAACATTCTATTTCTCTAGCTTGTTATCATCTTGGTTCTCTCTTTTTTAACTAAACGGAAGAGGAAAGCGTTGTTGTGCGGTAAAATTTTCACAAGACCGGGATTGTGTATGTAAGTACATTATTCATTTCGGTTTTGTCGTTTTTTTTGGCTGCCCATCCATCCCTGCACCATCTCAACTCAGTTTTGATAAAATAGTCATTTGAGACACCTTAACGATGATACCTCCCCTT